TCACCATGTTTGCAATAGGGGAAGGCTGTTCGGACCATTTTGTTTGCGCCACCCAACTGCGGAAATGAACCCTTACTGCTGCAACTCGCAGTGTCTACTTTCTCTGCAAGGTTCCAAATGCTGTAATTTACAGCATGAATCGGCAACCGCTAAAACATCAGAGTTGGCGTGCTGTAATTTACAGTGTCTGCAAGCTCTGAAGCGCTTCAAGTATAAGCTCTAGATTTAAAAGTCCACGAGATTCAGAAGCTGCAAAAGCGACGACAGTTCCCAGGATGGTGACCCCGACCCCCTCGATCCGTGTGACTGCTAACACTTTTCAAGCTCCAAGAGAATCCGAGGGTCGAAAAGCGACGACAGTTTCGAGGATTGCGACCCCGACCCCCGCCATCCCTGTGACTGTTGACGCTTTTTCAAAATCCGAGAAGCTCTGAGGGCTAAAAGCGACGACAGTTGGGAAGATCACGACCTAAACCCCACGATCCTGGTCAGGGTTCCTAATGTCGCCAAAGAATTGTTGATCGGAAAACATGTTTTTTGATGATCGGAGCAATCCAAAACGGAGGACAGGTCCGCATTTTACGACCATAAAGTTTTCGTGATCCGGAAAAAGCTTTTTGTTGATCCGCCAAATTTTTTCTCTTCAACTAAAAGTTTGTTCTAATACTGATCTCTTTTTGTTTGTTCGATTGCTTTTCCTTGGTTCTTAGCGTGAATACCGTATGCTATCGCCCAAGTCTTGTTTCAGACCGTTCTAGTAGATGCCAAGGTATCGCTCCGCAGGCCTTCGCACAGCTGGCACAGGAAGACTGCCTGGTGATCAGAGTTTAGGTTTCAGGGTTTAGCGTCTAAGGTATACTAAGTCATAAGGACACAGATTCCTACAGTAGCCCGTATGTAAGCCCCAAACTCTTCCTGCAATCTATTCCTCCATTCCGTACGAAGAGTCCGGGAAGCCCCGAAGCCCTGGAACACATAAGCCCCATACCCTATATCCCCAAACCATTCTCAATCCCTTCAAATAGCTCTGATCGCTCCTAAACCCTGACCAAAACCACTTCTTACTGCAAGACCTCTACCTACTAAGAAGCTTGGTCAGCGAAATCCCAGTTATCACCAGAGCATATTGCAAAGGCTATTATGAATAGCGTTGGTGGCTATACTTTGGCAACATGCTGAGGCAACATGCTGAGTGCGCCACTCACCACTATTCTACCCCAGCCTCAATTTCAATTTCCATGCTTTTTATTTGCTTCTCCATCATGGTGTATAATTCCTACACCTAGCTAGCCTCGCATGTCCCTATGCTTCCCTATTCCGTCCCTACACACACACACACACACCCTTATACCCCTATGTAGCCTGTATCCCTATACGTTCCTCTTTTCCTCGACATATTCCTCTGTGCCCCTAGATAGAACTCTACATGACCTCATGTATCCTGAGAAAACCTTATGTACCCCCTATGTATCCATACTTGTCCCTCTATATTCCTTGTACATCCCTATAGGGGTTACCCTAAGGCCAAAGCGCTAAGCCCTAAACTCTTAAACCCTAATCCCACAACCCTAAGCCTTAAACCCTTAACCCTTCAACCCTAAACCCAAAGCCCTAAAACCCTGAAACCTTAACACCACATCCCGAAACCCTAAACCCCTTAGATCCCTGAGCAGGAAGACCTCGAGGACGAGGCCGCCGCGGAAGCTCAGCGAGCTTCGCGCCTTCAAGCGCTCCTGGGCCTGTTTTTTGCTGGTTAAAGGCTGGCCTTCTAAGGAGAGAGAGAGAGAGGTATGTATGTATATATATATATTGTTGTTCTATAGTGGGATGGGTATATAGGGATATGTATGAGGGTTGGTAGGTTTGGGATTCTGAGTCCAATAAGGTTTAGGATTTAGGAGGAGTGCTTTGCGATTTGGTTCTAGCAGCTTGGGGTGCTCTCAGAGCTTCGTTCAGGTTTCGTAGGACCTCAAGGTATTTTGAGGAGCTTTGTAGGAGTTTAGCGTCGGTAGGGCTAAGGGTTTTTAATGTATTCAGGGTTATGCAGGCTAAGGTTCTTGGAGGTGTTTAATTACGGCTTGTAGGTCAAATGCTATGTGGGCTTAGGGCTTGGGGTTCTGTGAGGGTTGCAGGGTGCTGCATGGGGCTTAGAGGGTTTGCCCACTGGCATCAAACAGCCATCTGAGGCACACATTTAAAAGCATAAGAACTGCAGAGTCACAGTGAGAAGTAAGCCGAACCCAGAGGTTCCTTCACCCCAAAATCCCTTAGCCACTGGATCCTATGCCCCGTGGAAACCCGATGGAAAAGCGCTGGTGACTTTAGCATACTTTAGCAAGCCCTCCCCATGCTCCACGACACGCAACAAAATACAAACTGTCTAAATCCCTCCGAGGCCTAGGATTTGGGATTTGAGATACAGGGGCAAAGCTATGCTGTATAAAAGGTGGAATGGTACTAAGCCATGGCTGCTATTTGATGACTAGCTCACGCAGAGTTTTGTTTCTAATCGAAGTGTCGGCGTGGTTAAAAGATCCAGGCCATCATGTGACCAAGGCTGTGTGACGGCGATGAGGAAGACGATGATGCCAGGCATTGATTAGGAAGCCAACTGGGGGGGACTGGCCCCTGCAATTGTTGGATGTCATATCCGACGAGGTCATGTGACATGTTTTCGATTTTTAGGCGGCGGGGAAACCACACGAGGTTTCTTTCAAAATGCTTAACCAAAACAAACCTGCGAAGCTCAAATCCTGCCCGAAATCTTGCAAGCCCGCTACTAATAGTATTGTTATTATTGTTTTCACTGTGAATCTCATCTTTCCCAGGATCAGAGCATGGACCTGGAGGATAGCGATCAAGAGGACGAAGATGAGGAAAAGCTGGACGCTTACTGGTTTGTTAGTAGCTCATTGGGGCGTGGTTCCGTGTAGCAGCCTCCATATTGAGCTAGTGTCAATATTAGCCCTTGTAATGGACCCTTAACAGCGGACATAGGGGTGCCTGTTGTAGTTTAGTATAGTCCTTAATATTAATATGATCCCTTGTAATTCTGACTGTAGCTCAATAATCTCCAACAGCATATTGCTCCCCCCGTCATTCCCTAAGCCCTGAACCCGAGCTTGTCCATTTCTTCATTCCCTACTAGCAACCAGCAAGGAAGTGGCTGCTGGCCGCGTGGTTCGACTGGCAGCCAGCGGATGCCTTGGGGTGGTGATTCGGCGGCAGACATGGGGTATCTAAAGATACGTGCCTCTGTATCTAGGTGCGTATGTGTTAACGTGTTGGTATGTACATGTCTGTGACGTGGTATTCTCACCATACCTGGAGTAGTAGTGTAAAGTCTCTTTTACGGGTACATTGCATTCTAGAATAAGCATATTACGTGCAAGATATAGTGTCCTTCCTCGCCATGATGTGACGTACCTGGGAAAGGCGTTGGGTAAACGCCTCCTAGTAGTGCAAGCATTTCAGGCTGTTCGTGGGAGTTGCTCAAATTTGTTGTGTACTCGAGAATGCCCATGTCTTACGCGCATTCAAAACAGCTTGGCTTGGGGTGCGTCTTTTGCATGGTTTTCAGGATACCTAGGTCGAGAAGATGGACAATACTTGGGCGGCAGTGAAACTCTGCCAGGGGCCTGGCAGCAAAGTAGAGAAATGCGCCGTGGCAACATTGAAGGCTCTTTCGGAAGACCAGGCGATACAAGAGGCTGTCTGCAGCGTCTGCGGGGTGGCTCCGCCAGAGGCAAAGCTGTTGATCTGCGAGAACTTCGCAAAGTCGTGCTCCTCAACAACGCATATCCATTGCCTCAGCCCTCCTCTCAAAAAGGTGCCTGAAGGGGACTGGTATTGCTCCAGCTGCAGCTCCTTTAAGGCAACTGCAAAGGGCCCGAGCAAGAGCTCTGTGTCAGAGCCGGCGCCCAAAGCCAAGGGCAAGGCAAAGGCAGCCCCCAGTGCAAAGGTCACAGCCAAGGCCAAGGCCAAGGCCAAAGTCCTTTCGAAAGCCAAAAGTGGCAAGTCAAAGCATGGGTAGCGTCAGGAGACACCGTGTCGGCAGGTACGGTCAAGCAGGATCGCACTGCCAGACGTGGGAGGTGCTGCGCGAGAAGATAAAAGCGTGTTGGGTCGTTGGGGTCGCCTGCGTAGTGGTGGCCTCAAGACAGATGTTGAGAGCGGCTTGGTCAAGATCTTCATTTCAAGCTGGTAATGTTTCCTGTCTGGACGCACAGGACCTGTGCTAGCGCTCTGCGTGATGTCATAACGCTTTCTAGGCACGGTTCCTTTTGATGTTTGAGGCTTCAGCTGCTGCCGTGCGCTTGTGGCACAAGCTGGCGCCTCAATCCATAGTGATGCAGACTCTCCACTGTTGTGTATGGTGCCAGGTGGGCGATGAGCGTCAGAAATGTCGTAATTCGTCCCCATGCCAGTCTGACTTTCTTCTGGCCAAAGCTTTCAGAAAGTTCCTTGGACGGCAGGAGCAGTGGCAAAGCTCATGCAGCAGCTCGCGCCATGGTTCGTGCCTTATTCCCGCAACAGAGCGGGGAGGGACTTGGGCGTGGCTCAGGGGGCCTAAATAAGGTCTGACTTAGCAATTGCCATAGTTGTCTCAAGCTGAATTCCGAATGAGTAGTAGGTAAGCTGTATAATGAAAGTTTATCATGTGCAGAAGGGACCCGTGAATAGACCCCCAAGCAATAGAATTTCTACGAGGCTTCGGATGACACCGAATACAAAGGAAAATATTGCAGGGGCTCAGCAGACTTCCTGAAGCTCAGCTGTACTTCTGCAAAGCTGGGACAGGGTTTCATCTCTGTTCTTATGCAGCGCCAGACCTGGGGTTGTTGCATTACTGCAACATTGCAAAACATGACCTTAGACCTTCCCACTACCTTGTTCAAAATGACCCGTCCATGCCCCAGTTGACTTCAACCAAGCGAAGCCATTGCGTACTTCCTACTCTGGTGACAGGGGCACAAGGCGGTAACCGATTTGTAGGCTACTTCGGCCGTAGACTGCAAGCCTCCAATGCCCACGCCTACCATTGGCAAGTACTAGAGATATGCTCAAGGATAGCGGTAGGTTTTGTGATTCACCTTCCGCTGAGGAGATCGATCTGCCTGCGCGGTGCAAGCATTGAGGCAGCCGGGGGCTGCAGCCAACAATTCAGGAGTTTACACTTACTGGAATACCGGGGTTCTCTGCATCTTGGATTATCCTGCAGAATGTTTGTACATCTTCCGCATTGCTTCAATACTTGAACGCAGCACTGCGAAACACACTTCACGTGTTACCAGCTATGTGATGAACTAATCTGGTGTCGCCTCATCTTTCGGACAGCTTCGAGGGTCTTGCCTGACAAAGAACTAACAACTAACAGGTGGATCATCTTAAAGCATGCGATCATAGAGACAATACGGTTGGCGTGGCGTACCGTTCAGACGCAAACATTACTCACGGGCAACGCGTTGACCAGTCTGCTTCCTTATCTGCCACCTGCCTAGCTCACCCGCTGAATGCAGAGATGCACAAGAGTTTTTTGAAGACGGCTTCCGGAGATCAGAAACCTTAATGTATGCAAAAAGTATTACTGTGGACGAGCCCAACTTGTCGTCTGAAGATTTGTATCTTACTAGAATTTCACCAGCAAACTATTTCCCCCAGCCCGTCAGAACCTCAACAACACTCTCCGCGTTCTACTCAACCTCTACTACTCTTCTGCTGCGGAGAAGGATTATAGTCCCCCTTAAGTAGATAGAACATGGGGTTTATGGGGACCTTATCATAACATACCCAAAGCCGAATATCTACTTAAGGGGGACTATAAACCCTAGACTCCCTAGACCAGTACCTTGAGTTTGGTGCAGGCCGCAGAGGTTGGACAGCTGATGAACTGCTTCGGCGTGCCTCGGTTTAGGGTTTAGGGGTTTTGGGCTTAGAGTTTAGGATTCAGGGTTTAAGGGTTTGAAATTTTAGGGTTTAGGGTTTTAGGGTTTAGGGTCTAGGATGCTAGCATTGTGGTAACAAGCCTCTCCCAAACACACATGACAGACAGTGATCCTTTTGTGCAATTTTTAGAGTTTCCGGGACAAAACATTCACTTTCAAACAGCCAACGGGGAGGCAACAGCAGGAAATATCTTTGGATCTGGCTGTCCTTAAATTAAAGGGCTCCTGTTGTCCATTGTAGCGCAGTAAGATTCCCAATTAGTATCCATAAGCCTTCGAGCAGTGGGGTTTCGAGCGTCTGCCTGAGCGGTGTCCATGGTGTCCGGCTGTACCGAATATTTCCTTACTGGAATAAGGAAACATGAGATAATCCCTATATAATCCCAACCTAACATACTCCTCTTTTGTCTTACGAAGCCTTAGACCATAAGCCCTATATTTACAATTCTCCCTCATTTTCTACTAACCCCCAGAAAGTTTCTCATATCCGTGGGCCCTGTAGACCTGCAAAGATGCATCCTGCAGGGCTCTTTCTTCCTCGATCTCTCTCTCTCTCCCTGGTTTAGGGTTTATAGGGTCTCTCGTCTGCTAGAAAATCGGAACATGCACACACCAGACACCCTGCGCGGATGCAAGACGAAACTGTCGATGTTCCAAGTTTCTCAGGTTCCAAGTCTAGATTTGGAACTTGACCTTGCAACATTAAAAAATGAAGCTTGGACCTTGAGTTATTGCAAGCAGAAAACAGATGGAATCTGATCCGCGACAGTGGCAAGCGTAGATTTGAAATGCAATGGTCAACAGCATTTCAGCCTTCATTAGAATTTGAGAGCTTTTGGCCACGTAGACGGCGCTCACACTCGAACAATGTCCAGGGCTCTGGACCTTCAAGCTTTGCAACGTTGAGCTTTCAGCTTTTCTGCTCAATACCACCAAACATTCAAAAATAGACCCTGCATCTCAAAACTGAACATTATCGTACGGGGCGCCTGGGAAAAACACGCCTCGTGGGGGGGTGGGGGACACCCCGAAACAGGTGGTCAAGTCCCAGCTGCAAATCCTGCCCTGTATTAGTATTTCGGCAAGTTCACAAATGGATAGGGCCCTCCCCAACCGTGAGACACTCCAGCAGTGGGCGCTGGCTGGCCAGGCTCAGCAGTTTTTCGCGGTCAAGGCAGTGGGAAAACAACGCTCCCGGGGAGCAACATCCCGAAGCGGGTGGCAAGTGGCAAGGGTGGGCACTCACTTCCCACGCTGTGGATTTTGACGCATTGACATCCCCATCTTTGCTGCACGCCAGCACGTGGAGAGTGCGAGCATGCTGCCTCGCCAAAAAGAACTCCATATATACTTGCCTGAACCTTGGGCACGAGGAGCACCGCATCGCAAACGTAAAATTGGAACATGGCAAGGGTGGGGAGCCCTGGCCCGGCCCCCTACCTGGCAGTCCGGAGAGCCTGCCTCTCCCATCCCGGATATGCTGGTGCGCGGTCGGCGTCAAACAATGACAAGGTCCTTTAAGCGGCAACATGTAATGGCGGCATTCAGTCAGCAGCAGATGCAAAACTGAAGCCTTAAACATGCCAAAGAAGAGTCACGGCATCCCAAAAGCATGCTTCAGGATTCCAACTTCTACTGTAGGGGTGACGGGGATATAACGGGAAGATGGAAAAGAAAACGGAAACTACTATCTAGGGTATGAAGTTTCACAAAACTAGGGACATGTTTGGGAGGCTCCTATAATAAGGGTTCCAGTATTTGGGATCTATATTGGAGTCCTCCTATTTAGGGAAAATACCACGTTTGCAAGTGCACAAATGCAAAGACACGATTGGTATGTTTGGTCGGTGCGCTGGCCATCACTCCTCCACCAGGACCACAACCCTAAACCCCTGATCCCTAAACCCTCACCCTGTTCCGGTAGACATCGCCAGAAGCCGAGCAACAGCTCAGGATTCCATGGCGTCGAATCACTTGGGCTGATGTCTTAGATGGGGCAAGGTGTAGGTAGCGTGTACCAAGGATGTGAGGGCGTTGGTGTGGTCAGATTGCGGGGGGTGTGGTGGGATTGGCTCAAATTTGTTCATTTGAGCTTGAAGTTTAGAGGGAGGTTTGGGTGTTGAAGGTTGGGCTTTTCAACGCTGTGCCTAACTGAGACCATTGGGCCGAATGCTATCATGAACTTATGAGGCAATTCAGCAGCCCTTCTTTTGCTGCTTCTTCAGTCGGTGAGCTTTGGAAATGCATCCCCGACGGGCCTCCAGAACTAATGAGGAAATAGAAACTTGGACCTTAGATGAAACTCAATGAAAGAGAAAAACCCTAACCCTAAACCCCTAAACCCTAAACCCTAAACTGGAAAATCAGATGGAAACTGGGAGTTGACAGGGACAGTTGGGGTTGGTTGTCGGCAGGGAATGAACGGATGGAAAAGACAAGGAAGCTATTGCACTGTTTCGGCTTAAACATGGGCTACAACAGAGATCCATTCCTCCACCCTTACCAACAGCCAGTGAGCCTGCTGAGCATTCTAGCAATAAGTGGATTTGGCATCCTCAACTCCCAGGATAATCAACCTAATCTTGTAGTCATATGATCAATGTTTTGGGGGCTTGGGTTACTATCCTCATATTACCGGCGCTTTGCAAGCAGAACTTCGTGGGAATCACAGCAGTACTGGAGTCTGGCTGTAGCTGACCATGAAAACCCTGAACCCTACACCCTAAGAAGCTCAGACCGTCCCGCTTGTGACAGGTACAAGCCAGAGGGAATCCCGTCCCGTGATACTTGCTAGGTATCCTGAATATACTATACCACATGATATTGGGGGAGAGCATTAGTTGTAAAATTGGCCTATTCTCAAGGTTGCATGTGCGTGCGGTGGTAGTCTACATTGTTTGCACAAAGTTCTTGGCCAATTGTCGGTCCCCATTATGCGTGCTTGGCCGCTTGAGTGCAGGAATGCAAGCATGGAACCCTGTCCTTGGAAAACTGCACACATGTCGGTGATGCCTTCAAGGCAGTCTCCCACTGACCCAAACCATGGAGTCCAATACCGAGCCAGGGCCCAAGATCAAGACGCACAGGC